TTGAAGGCTGGGTGAATCTGAATGTTCAACTCCTTCGATTCTCCTGAATTCCCACGGATTATCCCCAGTTCGAGCAGCCGTCTGCTACTTATGGTTTGCTTGTTGCGATCAACTCGATTTTTTTTGAAAAGTAAGCTATGTTGAAAAGGAATTCGTTAAGAAGTGACAGCAGGTTGCGTGATGTCTATAAAAAGGCAAATTTAGAGAGCGAGATATGTCCAATTGCGTCTAGATGTTCGATGTACTCGCTTTTATGAAGAAACTAGAAAGCGGCTCTAACTAATGAGTTTCGAAGTGGGCTCAAACTATTTTTCTTGAAATCGAGCATAACATACGATTCTATGCATATAACTAATTATAGACTTAGTATTACTAACTATAGACTATAGACTGCCGTACGGGCATTAGTGAGCATGGCTTCAGCATAAATACCGTCCTCGACTGAGCGAAGTGAAGGGCTAAGTTTGTCAGTGTCTTCTTTTTTTTTTACTTTTTTTACCTTCAATAAGCCTTTCTTTATCTTCCTTTTGCCCTTTCATGTAGTTTTTACCTCGCATGCACATTCGCATTGGTTATACAACGTTTTTATATAGTTAGTCCTTGTAAAGGTGAGATTAAGAACTTTCTTCTGAAGACGTCTGCTTTCATCTTCGAAGTCAAGTTCAAAGAAGAACGTTTCAGAGTAGATGAAAGAATATCAACTTTTTACTTTGTTCCATGTATAATTTCAATTTTTTTTTTGCTGTTCAATAGTAAAAGCGACGAAGGGTGTGGAGCGTTCAACTTCCCACAACGGGTCGTCGGTGCACCCAGGTGGAGGGTTAAAAACGCAGTAAGTTCTGGACAACCTCTGGTACAGTGCATCATGCTAATTCTACGCAAACTGTCAGAAATAGCAACAACTTTGAGAAACGACATGTACGGTGTGGGCGGAGATCGCAGTAATGTGGGCGGAGTTCGTGTAAAAGAAGGTCGCTCAATCGGGCGAGAAAATGGAATCAGGTATGAGCTTTATGGTTTGTTTATTTTTCCATTTTTTCAAGTCGAATTTTGTGCAAAGTGGCAAATGCTGGGGAATAATGAATAAAGAATGTAGCGAAAGTTCAAGAAAGCAATTTTAAAGGCTATCGATCATACCATCTGGTTGTTTGGTGCACGCGTTTTCGTACACTACTCAAACTAGTTTTCGTATATAACATTCGAATTCCCTTAACTTGCCTTTTTTGTGTTTTATTTCATTGCAGTGTCTATTCCCTTCCCAATTTGAGTTACTCTTTTTCTTTTTTTCCAAACATAGTTCATCTGTTAGTAACCGTCATCACTACCTCATTCTTCATGTACCTTCTATTTGTGTTATCTCTTTTTTGTTTGGAATCAAGTTCCCATTTGTGGAGGTAAGTAATTACAATCTAAGCGTTATCATCTGAGTTGAAAGCTCACAACCCACGCTTATTTCCATGCAAACTTGAAGCTTTATACTTACTCGTCAGTAAATTTTATTCAAGCAGAACACGTTCGTTCTTCCGGGAAGGTTGTCAGTTGAACTAGATCTCTATGCACATGCATGGGCATATGGTCTGAAGGGCTAATATAAAAGGTCTTTCCATACCACAATAGCAGTGAAATGACCACAACCTAAAGGAAAAAGAACAAAGTGCTCGGCTGAAGCAATCCTAATTAACCGACCCTCGAGGGATGAAAGGATGGTGGCTTCGGCAGATGTCAATACGGGATTCCATCTCCGAAACATGCTAGCGGTAGTGCACGACTTGGTAATACATCAAATCCGCCCTTCAAAATCGCATTGATATTGTTATTACGACAAATTTCCGCTAACAAACTGACACCTTCCTGGTCTGGACTTCCGGCTCCTTAGTCTCAAGCCGGCCAACACCTCCTTGTTGCTAGTTGCCTATGTCGTAGNTATCTATCAACCAAGATTGTTTTAATTTATTTCGGTTAGACGCCCACTGCGAAACTTGTGAATTCAGTGTGAATATCGTCCTTAACAAATTGAAATTGTTTTTGGCATCTTTTACTAATGCCATAAAGTATCAAGTAAAGGACTTTGATTCGTCAAAGTTCCCTGGGTTAATATTCCCAGCTTAGTGCGGAAAAGAGTGGTTCTACGTGTCGAACAGAGTGCTCAACTGCATCGACTGATTGTTTTGTTTGGGGTGCGATCGCGTCTTTCTCCGACCAGATCTGATGTGATATTTCTTTTCCTATCGATACTTCAATTTCAATTCAGTAAATTCAGTTACTACAGAAGAATAAGTTTGTACTGCCAAGTTTCGAAATTCCAGAACTTTTAAAGCTATTAAACATGGGCCATGGATCAAGTTCTCCCCAGCCTTTTGGAGATTCTCGTGTGGTGAAGACGAAGTTCGGCAACATCATTGGGAGACGATTCGTTTTTGATAAAAAGGAGGTTTGATAACTTCAACGAAAGTGCATCTGTCTCTTCCGGTGGTCTTAATCTGAAAGGTTTACGGTCAGCACTGACTAGCCAGGTTATCGATAATGTATGTGAATGATCACAGGCAACAGTATCAGGTTGATGATAATGTTCGATCAGGGTTTAGGGTGCTGAAAAAGCTTCAGAACTAGCTATTATTTATCAGTACGTAGGTTGCCTTTTATATTTCGGGATCTGAGAACAGAAACAAACACTATTTATTGAAAATCGCTCCACTGCCTTTCAGAATTCTCCACATTAAGATCTATACACTTTTGCATGGGCTCG